GCTGAGAGGCCTGCGACTTTCTCCTATAGGAAAAAGTGTCCAAAACTTAGAAGGTGGTATTTCCTTTCATTACCATTGTTTAAAAGGCCCGTGAAAGGATTAGTTAATTCTGTGGGGAATACATCTGAGTTTAATTTTGTCATTCTGTATTTGCATCATGTTTTATCATTTCCTGAAATTACAAGTTGACATCCTCTTGTTCTAGTGGTGCTCTGGCAACGTAGGGATTAGCACAGGTGCTCTGGCTCCCTCACACCCCCAGGAGCTCACAAGGGTGTGGCTATCTTCTGTCCACATTTTATCCTCAGAATTTTGCATAGGGCCAGCCAGCTTCACAGCAGGAGCCTGAGAAATAATTATTGGCTGAATGAGTGATCTTGACCTTACCTCTTCATGTCTCTGAGCCTCAATTTTCTTATCTGTTAAATGGATATCATAGCACCCATCTGCAGAAGGAATAAAGGTTCAGTGAAATACAGAAGTCAGTTCCCTGTGATCCTGTGGGCTTCAGTGCCCCTTCTCCCAGGGCTGGATTCCAAAGATAGGAAATGAAGATATGATGTGGGGAGCTCATGGTTGGGGGGACACTTAGTCACTGGAGGAAGGAAGGGTAACTCTGTGGGGTCAGGGCAGCCAAAGGCAGCTCCACCTGGTGTTTGGTGGGATAGGGACATCAGCCTGGCTGGAGAGTCAATTCTGGGCTGGGGAGGATCAGGGAGTGCCCTTGAGTAGACCAGGTGGGGTATAAGGGAGAGACACCGGAAACCAGGCTGGCATGTTGGAGTCCCCAGAGTTGGTAAGAGTGGGACATCCTAGGCGGACGGCGGGAGGGGCTTGATGAAATCATTTCAGCCAGGAGAGGAGAGCCACCATCATTGAGTTCCTCTGAGAATCTGATCTTGGTGTGTGCATGTGTGTTTGTGTGTGATTGTGTGTATGAATCTGTGTATGTGGTGTGTGAGTGTAGAGGTGTGAATGTGTGTGGGTATGAATGTGTGTGAAGGTATATGCAAATATGTGAGTGTGGGTGTGAGAGCGTGAATGTGTGTGTGTGTGGACTGCTGTCTGTGCCACACGGTTGCACAGGGCTGATCTATTCTCTATTTAACCTTCACAAGAGACCCCTGGGCTTTCCAGGTGGCTCAGTGGGTAAAGAACCTGCCTGCAACACAGGAGACACCAGAGATAGAGGTTCAATTCCTGGGTCAGGAAGATCCCCTGGAGGAGGGCATGGCAACCCACTCCAGTACTCTTGCCTGGAGAATCCCATGGACAGAGGAGTCTGGAGGGCTACAGTCCATGGGGTCACAAAGAATCGGACACGACTGAATCGACTGAGCGCAGCACATCACAGAACCCCCTGAAGTGAAGGCTACCACCCCCCGCTCCATTTCACAGGTGACCAAATGGAGGCTCAGAGGTGAAGCCCTTTGTCCAGGGTCACAGGGTGAGGGCTCTGAGCAGCTGTCTCGACACCCTTAGGTGGAGAGAGGAGGGGTGTGGGCGCAGGGTGATAGGGGGGTAATTAAGGGAGTCTCACTAGACCAAGAGATGATAAATGGTTTATCACTGTTTTGTCTGCTATTTTGGTTGTGTCTGCTCAGACGATCAGTGGTGTCCGACTCTGTGACTCCATGGCCTGGAGCCTGCCAGGCTCCTCTCATCATGGAATTTCCCAGCCAAGAATACTGGAGTGGGTTACTATTTCCTTCTCCAGAGGATCTTCCGACCCAGGGATCGAACCTGCGTTTCCTGTGTCTTCTGCATTGGTAGGTGGATTCTTTACCACTGAGCCACCTGGGAAGCCCTGCTCTTTTCGTCACCTGGATGTTATTTTTCAAAGGAATCTAGCAATGCTCTCTAAGCCCTCACCTGGGCAAGGCCCAGGGCTGGACTCCTGGACCAAAGATAAAGAACTGATACCATCCCAAGAAAGTGTCAGGTTGGGGCAGGCATCAATTTGGGGGTGGGGTTGAATCCCTAGGGCACTAGTCTCTTTAAGACTCTGAGGTGTGACTTGTATGTAGAGAAATGCAGACCTTGAGTGTGTACTTGATGGCTTTTCACATTTGCAAGTCCTCATGTAACCACCACTTGGGTGGGGAGCAGCTTCCTCTCACCCCAGAGGGCCCTCAGCCCCCTCCCCTCCACTGCTTCCTCCAAGGGTAGCCTCCACTGACCTCTGTCACCAAGCTTTTGCCTGTTTCTGAACATCTGGGACCCATATCTTTTTGGAAAATGCTTTAAGTTTCATAATCCTGTATTCAGAAAACAAATCCAGCCCCTAATCAAACACAGTGTAATGGTTAAGGGGGCCACAGTGGGGACCCCAGTGGTGACAGGCTGAACCCTGGGGAGGCCCAAAGTTGCCTGGGCTGGCTGTTGACCAGGCAGGAGAGCAAGACCACCCTGGCACTTTGGGGGTGAGACCACATTGTGTTTCCTGGCTCCCAGTAGAGCCCAGTGTACCCCATCATTGTCTGTGGTCCCCACTGTCTCACCAGCAACCCCCAGCCCCCAACATGCCTATCTGGTGCCCACCCATACCCACAGCAGCACCACTGCCCAGGCAGATGTTGGCCCTTGAACAAGACTCCTAATCTTTCTGTTAAATAGGGGCTAAATCATAGGACCTACCTTAAAGCTTTGTTAAGAGGACAGATGAACTGATATTAAATAAGTTAATATTTGGACAGAGTTTAGGAGACTTTGTAATATGCAGTAAGGGCTTATGTTAAAACTAAATAAAGAAATCTAGATCGAATCTTGGCTGGTGGGAACATGCTGGAAGATGCAGGGTTTTTTACTGTTGAGCATTAGAATCTTGAGAGTGAAGTGAAAGTCGCTCAGTCGTGTCCAACTCTTTGCGACCCCAGGGACTATACAATCCATGGAATTCTCCAGACCAGAATAGTGGAGTGGGTCCTTCTCCAGGGGATCTTCCCAACCCTGGGATCAAACCCAGGTCCTCCACATTGCAGGTGGATTCTTTACCAGTTGAGCCACCAGGTCAAGGATTGAGAAGGAGCAGAGATTTTCCTGATTATAATGTAAAGTGGGTAGGGGCTACAGAAGTCAAGGCCAATGGGTCCTCATGGGTGGTGCAGGGTGGGGGGGTTATCACTCTGCTTTGCTCAAGGAACACAGAGGAGATGCCTGATAAATGCCGAATGCTGGCAGGAGGGAGAGGGTCACTTGGCTCCCATCAACTAGAGGCTGCCCACCAACCTAAGCCCCAGAGATCTGGGCTGTGGAGAAGCAAGGCCCAGGTGCTGCATGAATTCTATCCCCACCTCTCTTGCCTGGACCTGCAGTCCTCCGCCCCCACCTTCCCAGAGAACAAAGGCATTTCCCCGCCCATTGGGCCTGGATTCCTGCCTGGAACACCTCATCCCACGATGGGCACACATAATTTCACAGGTTGGGGCTGAGGAAGGGGATTTAAATTCTCTGTCACCTGCCAAGGTCCTGGCCTGTGAGGCAAGCAACCTCTCCGAGCCCCACAGGAAGTTCGTTGCGTGACCACATGGACCAGGCCAAGATCTCAGGACTGATCCTCAGTGGACTTATGGATTCAAGTACAAGTCCGAACTCCACTAAAGATTCATTGTGTGAGATTGGCCAGGTCATGGGTACTTCTGAGCCTCAACTTTCTCTTTCTGCAAAATGGGCACACAGCTGCCACTGCTATTGGGCAATTAAGAGAATTAAACTTGATGGGGAAGGGCCAGACTCCTAGTGCTCTGTTGCGGGGCATTAGGGAAAGGACTTCACTTCTCTGTGCCTTGGCTTACTCATCTGTAACATAGGGATAAAAAGAGTTTCTACCTCACATGGTTGTTGGGGGATTAAATGAGTTAATAATTACAAAGCATTGGCATATTACTTACCATAGCAGGTATTGGCTTTTATAATTGCTAATACTTTCGCATAGTCAGTGCTAATATGTAATGTGATGCTATTAACTCAGTGGCTAGAAGTTGGTCTCTGAAGCTGGCAGCTGGAGTTTGTCTCAGCAGCGTCACTTATTAGCTGTGTGACCCTACCATCAGTTGCATCACCTCTCTGTGCCTTGTCTATAAAATGAGGTCAGCACTATTATTTACCTGGACTTGTGAGGTACGAAAGGGTTAATCAACGTACAATGCCAACACACAGTAAGCACTGACTATAAATGTTATGTTGACATCATTATATAATTGTCATTCATATTGTTAATATTCTTATGGAGGGTACATCAACATTTATTGAGCACCTACTAGCACTAGATATGAATTATCCAGCAGGGATAGTCTAGGATAAGCACTAGCTCCTCATTTGGTAGAGGAGGAAAGTGGGGCCCCAAGAAGGTGACCCATTTGTCCAAAATCCTACAGGTAGTGAGGGGCAACCAGTCCCCTCTGTGCAGTGTTTAGGGCAAAAAGGAAAGAGCCAATGCTCAGCAAAAGTCTGCCATGTGCCAACCCTTTAATGCCCACACTAACCCTGGAAGGGTATTACATCGTGCTGACGACTGCCCTGAGTCTCAGCGAGGCGAGTGGTTTGTTCTCAAAGCTACAAAGAGGCAGATCTGGGATTCAAACTTGGTTTTCTGTTGGAATTTTGCTCAAGCAGGTGTTTTGAGCTTTCTTACGTTGACTCCCTATGAACCAGGGGAAACGAAGTCTTTGTGTCTATAAAGTCCAAGTGTGCATGTGTGCTTGCTCCGTCATATCTGACTCTTTACGACCCCATGGGTTGTAGCCCGCCAGGCTCCCCTGTCCATGGAATTCTCCAGGCAAGAATACTGGAGTGGGTTGCCATTTCCTTCTCCAGGGGATCTTCCTGACCCAGGGATTGAACCTGTGTCTAATGCATTGGCAGGCAGATTCTTTACCGCCGAGCTCCCTGGAAAGCCCCAGAGGCAGGCCCAAATGCTGAGGGTGCTTCCAAGCCCTGGGGCCCAGGCAATCTTCTCCCAATCTCATGTGGACAGGACAAACTCACAGAGACAAGGATACTCAACATCCAAAGGGGCTGTTGTTACCCAGAAATCTTTATTACAAAAATATTTTGCAAGCCAAAAAGTTTAAGTTGCAACTATATACAAAATGGGGCCTGTTTCCTTCCCCACAGTCTGAAAATAAACTCCCGAAACCATGCTCCTTCCGTACTGTTGTTTGGACCGTTTCCTTTTCCTGGGGTTCGATACACAAGGTATGGGAATCTCCAGGCTGCCAGGCTAAGTCTAAACTACATGACTTCCTTGGCCTCATTCCTTACTCCTCTTCCAAAATTCAAAATAAAATTAAAGTGGCACCAAGAAAACATTCTTTTAAAATTCTATGTGTGTGCTTGTGTGTGCTCACACACGTGTGCTCTCTCTGGGTAAAAGAGAGGGAGACCAGGGTTTACAAGCCAACCTTGTGGAATTTGGAAGTAGCTCGAGCCAGGTGGCTGGGACACTGAGCTCCCAGATGCCACAGAGAAACTCCGGCTCATGGGGCCAAAGCTGCTCACATGGCCTGTTGGCTCAGCCAGTTCCTGGATGCCATCGTGTAATACAAATCACCCTTCCCCAGAGAGGCAGGTCTGTGCTGGCCTCCCAGGGTTCCACCTGGAGGACCCGCTGATATGCAGGATGGCTCAGCTTCTGGCTCTGACAGCCTGTGCCAGGACTCCCTTGGGCATCCAATGGCTGGACCCAGGGGGCAGTGAAGATTAGCATCTCAGCTCTGAGAGTGGATCAGTTACATGTGAAAACTGAATAAACAGGGCTTGTGACACCTGCTTGCCCTGGGCCCAGCTGGGCTGCCACATTGAATTGGAAGGGCCAGGGTTCTGAGGGTAATGGGGTCAGAGCCTCTGCCCAACCTCTTGAGACAGAGGGACAGACGGTGGGTCATTCCTGGCTTCACAGATGTCCAGGCCTCCTGGCTGTCTTTGATTTATGCCAGTTTGGTCCTAATAGGGTTTGGGAACAGAAATGGAAGATTCTGTCTTCAGAGAGCTGGGATGGTGGGGGGTGGGGGTGGGGACAGCCAGGCACAGCTTCCTACCCTGCATGGCCCTAAAGTGCTTGTGAGAGATGGAGGCGAGGGACGGCATCTTTCCTCCCTCCTCTTTACAGGTAAGCAGACTGAAGCATGAGGTCTCGACCAGACCTCGTGGAGAAGGAGGCAGCCTGGAGAAGTAGGGGTGGGTTCAGACTTACCACACTGGGGGCTCAGGAAGCAGAAGAACCAGCCACGTGGAAGGAAGGCTAAGTGTCTCCATGGAGCAGCCAACCTGGAAATGTCTGCCCCACCCTCAGGGCTCTGGGACCAGGAGGAACTCAGTTTCTGCCATGAGTGATTCTCTCCGGGACAACCGACCGTTCAGCCTCAGACTGTGCAAGACCAACCACGCACATCAACACATGACAAAGAGCCAAGATAATGCTGCTGTTGTTTTAAGAAAAGAAAAAAAAAAAAAAAAACAGAACAAAACACCACAGATCAAATTTTCTAACACCTCAGTTTCAAGATTGCACATTTCACGTTTCTCAATAATTTACAGGCGTCCACAGCGAGATGTTGTGAGTTAGTGCTTGCTGGAGGAAGCGAGCTCAGGTCTGGAAAGGAGAGGTGGGGCCACATGGAGCATCACAGTCAGGATGACGGGCCCTCTAGATCTCGAGGGCTGCGAGGAGGAAGGGTGTTTCTGTCCCTCAGTCCTTGGTGCTGGAGGAGTTCCTCAGAGGGTCCTCTCCTCCCCAGGGCTTGTGGCCGATCACTCCAGGTTGGGGGAGGCCAGGACTGCTGGCAGCCACTACACCAGGTCTCAGGAGGTGGGTCCAGCTTCCCCATGGACAGGCAGTTCAATCTAAAGGGGATAGCTTTCCCCAAAGCCTCAGCTGGTGGTGCCGGGGGGAAGAGGAGGTATGTTTTCTCCCTCCTCACTCTGGAAGATCAAGCTGCGGAGCATCAAGGAGGCAATCAGGGGTCTCCAAGACCATGACCAAGACCCACAGTTGACGGACAGAGGCGTGAGAGTTCTCGCACCCACTGTGGCTCTGGCCAGTTCCCAGGCCGGCTCCCCGCCTGGTCTGGCAACACCAGCCTCCATGTGTGGCCACTTGGAGGGGTCACGGCTACCCCGGAAATGCTGGTGAGCCAACTGGGTTGAGGAGACAAGAGCTACCCTCATTCCTGGGTCCCAGGGCCTCTGCCACCCTAGCCCCCCAGGAACTGGGCTGGTTGTCCTCACTACGGCTGCTCCGTGTGGGACAGGAAGGCTCATGGGAACAGACCCTAGAGATGACCACGGCCCTGTTCACTTCCTCTGGACCTGAACACTGGCATACTCCGAGTAGGATGGCTCAGGCTTGGGGGCCGGTTGCTTGGGGGTCCGGTTGAGGTGGACCATGTCCAGGTCAGCATAGGTGAGGGTGTCCTCAGATACGGGTGGCGGGCGGGCCTGAATGCTGGCATACTCCGTGTGGTTGTTCGGTTCATTGGCCTTGGGGGTTGACTTCTTCCCCTTGGGCAGGTTCAGGTCTGCATATGTGATGTCATTGTTGTCTTGGATCTAAATGAGATAGAGAGAAGGTCATTCTGGAGCCCCTGCCAGTCACCACTGGGACCAAGTCCGGATGCTCTGTCTCCTCTTGGCCTCCACTGGCTCAGCCCTAATTCATGTCCCCTTTTCTCCAGCCGAGGTCTCCTGTCTCCAGCCTTGCCCTTTTAGTCAGCCTCCTCATATAGCCTGAAGGCTCTTCCTAAATGTCAGTGTGGTCACTTCAAAGCCCTGCCTCAATGTCACCCCTCCTGCAGTTCTTGCCTGCCTTTCCTGATGCTCTTGCCTCTGCTGAGAGTATCCAGCCCCCTTTCTCCTTATAATGAAAGCCAACACACCCTGTCAATTTCATCCTAAGACCTCCCTCTCAGCTGGGTCCAGGACCATGACTCTGTACCTCCCTCTGCTTCTCCATCACAGCACCAAACTCCTTAGTGAGGACTGTCTGTGCCTATCCAGGGGTGTGAGTGGCTGCTGATCCCCAGTTGGTGGGAACATTCATTTATTTACTCATTTATTCAACAAGTATTCACTAGGCATTTGTTATGATGCAAAAATCAAGACTGGCACAGAAAAAACCAATCAATGTTGAATGAATGAATGAGTGGTAGATGAATAAATGGATGGCAACTCTTCCAGCCCCACTCTAGGTGAAGCTGAGGACTGGGGGGAGAGAGGATGGGAGTTTGTGAGAATGAGGCCAGCAGTTAACAGGAGGCAAAGGTTTCGTAGGCAGAAGTCAGAGTGTGAATCCTGGTTCTGTTCTCTCTGGCTGTGGGACTGGGCAGTTCACTTACCCTCTCTGGGCCTTGGTTTCCTCATTTTTAAAGGAGGTCTAATAATAGTATTTGTTGCCATGGTCACTGGGAGGCTCCGATGAGGTGGTCCAGGTAATGCTCTCAGGACAGAGCCTGGCTCATGCCAGGTGCATGGAGGTTCAGCACATGTCAGCAATCATCTACCACCTGGCAAACCTGAGCTGCTCCTATGTGCCTATCTTATTACTCACAACTACCATCTTGAAATTACCCATCACGAAAGACACACTTGGCTTCATTGTGCCTAGCAACTTAACTGTGGAAGTGGAGGGGAGTGACCAACACCCATGATACCACCTGACGCACAACAATAACCTCAGACCCTGACGGCTGCTGGGTACCCTGCTCTCACGTGGACCACCTGATTTAGGTGCTATCACAACCCTGCTTGGTAAGACATATTTATCCTACTTTATGGTGAAGAACCTTATAGCAAGGGAGGTGAAATAATTGGGTCAAAGTCACACAGCTAGAAAAGAGTCAAGGACTGCTGGCCTCTAAAGCTGTGGTCCGAACACATGGCCCCTGTCCTCAACCCTGCATGCTTGTTCACTTCTCTCTGGAAAACCCATGCCAGTAAGGGCTGGCCCCGGGCTGGGGGTCCTAGTTACAGGGCTGCGAGCTCACAAGAGCCCTGCTCATTGCCCAGGGCCTGGCACATAGTAGGTGCTCAGTAAGTCCTGACTGACTGTAAATTCTGCACAGGATTCAGTGACCAGCTCTTTTCACCATCATTCTTTCCCTGGAAAATTCCAGAAAGAACTTTGACTTTTAAAGTTCCAGAAAGTAAAATGACTGGGGAAAAAGCCTTCCTGCCCCATGATTGGAAATTGTCTTGTATTTCTAATCATTGCCTGAGCTTGTGCCTATGGTCATGGGTGGGGGAGGGGAAGTTGGCACTGAGTCGGGAGAGTTTTGGCCTACAAACACTGTGCATTTTGCCAGTCTGGCTCTCTTCAACAAATTACAGCTACAGCGATGACAACTGCCAGGGAAATGTCAAGGACAGCTGGCTTTTCTCATTCTAGGTTCAGGGCTGGGCCTGTCTCCTTATAAGATGCTGAGGAGCCCTCTGCCTCGCAAGGTCTGATAGCATCAGCCAGTGCAGACAGGGCCAGGGTTCTCAGAAACAGGCCACCAACCATGGTGACTGCAAAGCCTCTTCAATAATGCTGGGGTGGAACTGCCAGCTCCAGGGGCATGTGCCATTGCATGAGGCGATCAATGGCATGGGGTCTTCCCATCAGCAAAGGCATTGCAGTACTGTGTGTTCCCCCACGTGAGAGACACAGGGCCGCAAGGGTGCTCCCGCTAGAGGGACTGGCTGGGCACAGGCATGGAGGCAGGATGGCGTGATGAACACTAAGCCCAACTCCAGAAGCACCATTTACACAGAACACATGGTGGATGGGGCCCTTCCAAGTTGTGTGGTGATTGGCACTGAGAGCGGCTGGGACAGACTCTCCAGGCTGGAGCCGGGGCGGGGGCTGGCGGGTGTGTGTGGTGGTGGTGGTGTGTGTGAGGTGGGTGGAAGGATGGGGAGAGGGGGAGGGAGGAGGGGAGGGGAGGACTCAGGAATGAATGTAAGGATCTTCCACCCCCGGTACCCACCCACCCTGGTGAAGAAGTCTTAATTTAGAACAGGATCTGCAATTCCTGTTGATGCAAGGAAATCACACCACCGATCACCCAGGAAGGGCATCTCACCAAGGACTGTACCTGAGTTGTTTCTCTGGTGTTCTTCTCGGGCTCGTGCAGCCTAAAAAGGAAAGAGACGCACAGATAAAAATACCCTCACTATCTCTAGTGCTCATGCACATGGATAAGAATAACATTTAGGTTCCACTTCCTATACGGGTGGAGGACATGGATGAGCCATTCCCAACAGAAACACAACTGCTGATCACATGTTTGGACCAAAGGACTTTTCAACAATGCACTACTTTTTTTGTTTGTTTGTTTAACCTACTTTATCATCAAGGATCTTTAAAAACTGTAATACTCGGTGCTGGGGAAGGTGCGGTGAGACTGGCAGGTTCATGCACTGCTGGTGGAGGGGCTGACCGGCATAATGCTCTCTGGAAACAGCTTGTCAAAGTCAAGAGCTTGGAAGGTGCCCTCATCTTTTGACTCATAACTGCACATTTGGGGGGTATTGGTATTCAAAATATAGAAAAAGCTTTGTGCACTAAAGCATTTACCACAGAACGAGATGGGAGAGGGAGGTTCACATCTCACAGCTCCACCAGTTGGGACCGGTTAAGGAAATCAGGATAGATTTTGTAGATAAAGACTTAAGAGGTTTATGAGGAGGCTTTCTTTTTTTTTATTATTACAAATGGTTACACTAAAATGATAAGCATAAAATTCTCTGTGGAAAGATCTCAGTTATGAAAAATGTGTAGATAACACTGGAAGGAAACAGTGAAACACTAACAGCTGTGGTCTTGCGGTGGTATTTTTTCTTCTTTTTAGTTTCCCATGTTTTCCTAATGTTCTATATTCTACACACCTAAGTCTTATCATTAAGAAAAGAAAAGAGGAGGGCCATGTGTTCTGATTAATCAAAGAAGCCGTTCATGCACTTGATTCTGTAATTGGAGGCTGTGGCTTGGCTCACTGCAGGGTCACAGTCAAGGTGGTGAGTAAACCGGAGCTACTGGTTCGACAGTTGTGTAAATTCTCAAGCCAGCCACTCTGGGGACGTTAGCCTGGCTCATGTCAGAAATGAGCAATGGGGCTTGGCAGCGGGGTTATTAATGGATTTGGCATGAGTGCTTGGCTCAGAAAGCAGTTCTGGGGCATGACGGGCCCCACGTGGCCACAGCAACGGCCCTCTGGGAGCAGGGACGCTGTCTGGAGAAGATTGCTCACTCGGCTCCATCCATGCCCCTCCTGCTTCCAACCTGTCTGGTTCCTCACTGACTCTGGTTTAAGTCCAACACCTCAACCTGCTTGTATGTCCCATGGAGTCTGGCCCTGGCTGACCACCCCACCTGCCCCTCATCCACCAACCCAGACTCATTTACTCCCTCATCCTCATTCACCCACTTATCACACCCACCCAATATTTCTCAAGGGCAACTCACTGTGATGCACTTTACATGTCAACAGCCTTGAAGGACCTCCTGAACTACTTTTCCTCTTGGTTAACCTTTGTTCATCCTTCAAGACAACTATGTTGTCACCTATTTGGGACGGCATCTGACAGTGCTAAGCTGGCTGGGCTGTCCCTCCATGACAGTTTCAAACTCCTTGCATATTTTTCCATCGGGTTCGTATGTCTGTCTGCCTGCCATGCTTCCTCACCACATGGGTACAGGTGCTCAAAGGTGACTTGGAATGAATGCCAATCAGTCTGCTCCAATGCCTTGGCACAGTCAGTCCACCTTGCCTCTTCCTCTGATCCACTCCTTCTCTCCCCCCAGAGTAGTTTCAAATGGTCATTTCTCAGGGAAACCTTCACTATCCCCAAATCCATTCTCAGAACACTGGGCTCCTCTCTCAGAGTGATAATTATGGATCGGAAGCAGTTATCCATTTTGTCATATCTATCTCTCCTCGGGTCTCTCCCATCTCAGTGAATGGCATTGCTACTACTCATCCTTGTGCTCAGCTAAAAAAATGGGAACCGCCCCCCGATTCTCCTTCCTCCTCCTTTACAACCCATGTCTAATCCACCACAAGGCTTGTCGACTTTGCCTCCAAAATACATACCCAACACCATCATCGCCACCATCCAGGTTTCAAATTTCTGAGGAGCTTCCTCTCTGGTCTCTGCTCTATTTCTGTCCCCCCACCCCCCCACACTCCAGTCTCCACATGTAAAATGCATACGTGGTATCAGGTCACTTTTCTGCTCAAAACCCTCAACTCCTTCCCACAACACAGTAAAATCCATCTCTGTGTCCTGACTGCCCGGCCCATGTGATGTGCTCTAGTCCTCTGTCTCTGCCCTTGCTCACTCCATATTGTTTGCCCTCCCCCCTGCCTCTCCCCCATTCTGCCTCCTCCTCGGTCCATGAACACGTCCAGCTGCTCCTGCCTTGGGGTCTTGGCACTGGCCGTTCCCTCTGCCTGGTCCACTCTTGCCCCTGATGTTCCCAAGGCTAGAGCCTCAGCTGTCATCTAAACGTCCCCGCCTTAGATGGCCTTCCCTGACCACCCACTGCACCCCCACTCCCGCCTCTACTTTGAGCCTGTGTGTTAGTCAGCACCTGTAACACACCACGTATTAACCTCCCAGCTAGTATGGTAACTTGCCTCCCTGTGGACCACGAGCTCCAGGCGAGCAGGGACTAGGTCCATGTTGTTTACCACTGGAGCCTCGACACCTAGTAATGGGCCGGTGCATCATCAGCACACTAGAGATGTTTGCTGAATGAATGACTAAACATCTCTCCCATCTGATCAAAAGTGCCACAGACCAGGGCTAGTGTCTTTTTTGTTCCTTTTTGCAATCCCCTCAGCTTAAGGCCTGGAGCTCAATCCAGATGAATAAATGAAAGAATCAGGGAAGCCTTAACTATTCTAAGAATAAACGCAGTGAATGTCTGACAAGTGAACAAATGGCCAACCGAATGAACCCCAGTGCCCAATTAAGGGAGCAGAGCCACATCTTCCTCTCATCTGAGCTGGGGAAGATTATAATGTTCTCCTGTACATTCCTAACCCAGGGAGTTAGAAATAGCCAGTCCTCCCACTGGCCCTGCAACCTGATGGGCCCTTTGAGTTCAAAGCAGAGGCGCCCCCAACTCTTGCCACTGCCCCTCCCCCTCCCGGGAAGCTGGGTTATTACCCACGCCAACATTCTCTGGAAAGTGTCTGATCCCAGCCAGCCGAGCTGAAGCTGGCAGCTGCGTGGAAAAGCACCAGTACCGCTCACTAGCTAGCGCTTTGGTTTAGAGAGATCAAAGGGAGCAAGTGATCTCACGGCTCCCTGGGTAGGCTCATGCTCAAAAACTAAAAAAAAATAAAAAAACAGGCAGAAAACGGTTGGCTTCTCTGGGGAAGGAAAAACAGGCAGAAAGAAGCACTAGATCAGTGATGAAGAGCCTCAGCTTCAGCATCGGAGAAACCTGGGTTGACTCATGGTTCCGCACTTGCTAGCTGTGGGTCCTTGGGAAGGTCACAAAACTTCTCTGAGCCTCAGTTTCCTCAACCACATATAGGGACAATAATAAGCTTCTAAAGCAGGGGTTCTCAAAGTCTGGCTTAGAAACAGCAGTGTCAGCACCATCTGAGAACTTGTTATAAATATAAATTCTGCATCCGAAACTCAAGGGAAGGGGCCAGTAATCTGCGTTTTAATAAGCCTTCCCAGGGATTCTGCCACACACTCAAGTTTGAGAACCTCTGTTGAATTAAATTGGGATAATAGTAAACCACAGGATTTTTGTGATAATCAAATCACCAATGGGCTAATATAGGTAAAATCATAGATCTGTGCTTAGAACACAGTGAATGCTCAATAAACGTTAGCGGCTGATGCTGTTGTCATTATTATTATTATTGACACCGCCCTTTTCTTCCAGAAATGTATTATATAATTGGGGAGATAAGACATATAAAAATAGTGACAACAGTAAGAATGAAAAAAAAAAAAAGAGAGCTCCTTCCATATTTGGGGCTGTGAAGCCACTGACAGGGATAGTTTTAGGGATTCATGAGGTCAGAGACCAGGGATTACTGGAGTGGTTTGGGGTAGCGTTTATTCATTCAACAAACCTTTACTGAGCACCTGTTCCATTCCAGGCACAGTGCCAAGTTCAGCAGCAATCAGCAAGGAACAGGAGGGAGGTAAGCCATCCTGCCTTGAAGAGGGGTAGGTCACATTACAGGGACAAGTGCAGCGACAGCTTGAATACACCGGGCTGTCAATCCAGGGACACCAGGAGAGCTCCCAGGAGGAGCCTCTGTCCCTGGAGGAGGCAATGCCCTCGCTGAGCCCAGAAGGAAGAGCAGGAGGTAAGCAAGTAAAAAGGAGGGTTACCCACGCTAGCCCCACTCCAAGGGGTGCTGTTCAGAACCTGCTGTGACTGCCGGGCCCTGGAGCTGTGCAGACCCTGGGTGATACAGGAGCAGGGGTGGGGAGCACAAGGGTGAGGAGAACGAGAATGCAGCGTGAGGGAGGAGGTGGGAGCCCGAGGCTGAGCCATGGAATTAGAGCCCTGGGAATGGAAGGAAGTGAAACTATCTGGCTCAGCAGGGCTGCACTGCAAGGGGCTTGAGGGCCTCAGGAGAGCATCTGGACTGTCCAGAGGGCCACAGGGAGTCACTAGGGGCTTCCAGGCAAATGCCAAGCCTTGCTCTTGGGAAAGAGCACTTGGTGTGGGAAGTGTGGCACGTGAAGGCATGGCAACACAGGAAACACACTTCCCCGGGGGTGTGAGGAGCCCGGTTTGCTGGAATGGTGGCTGTTTGTTCGGGGACCAGGAGGCTGGGAGGTTGGCCAGGGCTCAGAGCAGGAAGCCCCCTGTGGAGGTCAGAGCAGAAAGCAAGGCTTTCTCCCAAGGCTACCACAGACTCCTGGTGTGGCAGGAGGGCCCAGTGCTTCCCAGGGCCCCTCAGATGGGTTAGGTGCTCCTGCTGTGTGCAACCACAGGCCTGGTATTGCCCCCCACCATACCCATCACCTGTGACCCCCCCCCCAAACACATGACACAGCACTCCCTTCCCCCCAACTGTGTGGTTGTCCCTGACCCTACAACCTGTCAGCAAGTCCTCTTGGCTCTGATTCCAAACTATATCCAGAATCTGACCATTTCTCAGCCCATCTAGGCCACAGCCATCCACTAGGACCACTGGAGCAGCCTCCTGCCTGGCCTCTCCGCCTCCGCCCTCCCTCCTACAGCGTGGCTCCCGCATGGTGGTCAGAGCGGTACCTTTAAAACAAAGTCAGATCAGCTCCCTCTTATGCCCCCTCATCTAACTGGCAGTCAAATCCGCAGTCCTAACAGCCATAGCCCCTAGACACTGGCTTCCACTCCAGATCCTCAGTTCTGCTTTGCAATTCTGAAATCCACAAAGTGCTAAAAGAATCAAAAGATCGGCAAAACCCATTTGATGGCAAAACCTGTTCTGAATGAACATGAAGCGATTTATAGTTTGTATTTATCGTACTCAGAGTCGATGTTCATGTTTCCACACAGGCACATTCACGTCGCAGGTGATGGGGTGTGGCCTCTACTCTGCTGGGATGAATGTTGGTGGAGGGGGGCCTCCCCAAAGCAGCAGAATCTGGGTTAGTCACCCACCTGCTGCGTGTGCTGCAGCTAAGACACATGGGCTGCACATTCTGACCTCATCCCTTTCTGTCCCCTTGCTTCTTCTGCCCCAACTACTGGCCTCCCCCATCCTCCCAGCACTGCCCACCTTGAGCCTTCACCTTGCCTGCTCTCTCGCCCAGCCTATGCCCCCTCACGGCTTCCTAGCTTCAGGTCCTTGCTAATATTCCCTCTTCAGAGGAGGCCCTGCCCTTGCCCCCATCTCTATTCCCTTGCTGTGTTTAATTTGTCACCACCTGACATGACATTACAGACTGTTTCACCTCCACACTTATTGCCTGCTCCTCTCACAGGCATCTGAGCTTCATGAAGGTCCAGACTGAGTCTTGTTCATTCAGAACAGAGCTGGCAGACAGTAGGGACTCAGCAAAAATCACTGCAAATGTTAAATCAACCAACTAATGTACCTTCCATGATATAATGTCATCGGTTTAGCCTCTGACCAAGGTACAGGTTTCAGGAGGCACAGGTGCATCTGTCATACCCACCTACCCTGGCATTGCCCAGGCTACCTGTGTCAAAGCCCTCCATAAAAACTTAATGAATGAAGGAAAGAGCACAGTATACAATTAGATTTGGGGATGGCATGTGCAGGAGTTTCTGCCACAGTCCAAACAGGATTTGATAAGGGTCTCACTGTTTGTGGGCAGCAGGCAGGAAATCAGTGCCTCTGTGTGCTGAAATGCCCTCACTTGAGACAGTAGTTACAGGCAGACCTGGTGAGAGGAGCTTACAAAGGAAAGCCACAGGAAGGCTGACTGGCACAGAAGTGAGGGTCAGTGGGTGCGGATTCTGCTCGGCAGTTTTGGGGACAAACAACCAAATAACTGCAAAAGCACTCCAGTCCAGTGACATACTTACCTTGTAGAAGAAGTGGAGCCCTTGGCTGAAAGAGAAGAGAAAAAAAAAAAAAAGCCAGTTATTCAACTTAGAAACACACTTTTCTAATTACTTTTTGGAGGGTGCAGAGGCTTGCCCCCAGAATGTTGGAAGGAATTGTTGAAATCATATCCTCCAAACCACAGGAAACCCCATGCCCATCCCAGTGGGGTGGGTGGTCCATTATCTTCCAGCAGGAAGAGCTGGGCCTGCCAGCTTTCCCATTTCTGGGAATTGCCAGAGGTCAGATGCCAAAGCAACCTTCAGTCTGTGAGGGCCAGCTGCCCTACCTCTGGCTGAGCTTCACTTCCATCCATCACACCCATTACCTGAAACCCTACAGCAAGCCTGGGTGCCCATCAGGACCCTTCACTGCTAGAGAACAGGTTCTGGCAGAACTGCTAATTGGGGGAAGTGAAAGTGAAGTCGCTCAGTTGTGTCTGACTCTTTGGGACCCCATGGACTGCAGTCCACCAGGCTCCTCCATCCATGGGATTTTCCAGGCAAGAGTACTAGAGTGGGTTGTCATTTCCTTCTCTAGGGGATCTTCCCTACCCAGGGATCAAACCCGGGTCTCCCGCATTGTAAGCCGACACTTTTACCATCTCAGCCACCAGGGAAGCAAATTCTACTTCTGTCACCCACTCACATGCCGTGTGACCCTGGGTGGGTCATCTTCCCTCTCTGAGGTTAGATCTCCGTGCTCTAAGTCACACGGGTGGGCTGGACATTCATTTTCACTCACCACCTTTGCAAAAAGGACCATGGGAGGAAAGAAAGGGTCTGTCTGGCTCAGAAGTTTTGAGCCTGGGATGTGGGGCACCCCACAGAGAAGCCACTGGGGTTCGCCACCATTTGACTCTGATTTTGCTGTAAAATTGTAATTAAAAAGCAACAGGCACAGGCAAGTGTGCCCTGTATCACATATTAGCAGGCTGGAGGCTGCCACACTGCAAGAATTCTCACTGCCAGATGAACGCTTGGTGCCTGGGCAGGTATTGGATTTATTGGGTGAGTGGTACCCATTAGATGCAGCAGCTCAGCATCTAACATTTGACTGGAGGCTGATGGGCTGCCAAGTGCTGGGACACGAGTCATCTCAGGGAGTCCAGTGATGGGACACTGATCATCTCTATTTCACACTAAGGACACTGGATGACTCCCTAAGGTCACACAATGGGTAAGTGATAGAGCTGAAATTAGGATATTTCACTGTGAGTATGAGGAAGAGGATGGCAGACACCTCTGGGGATTGACAAGGGAGAGGGGGTGTCTCATTAGGGCAGCGGTAAAGGGCAGCGTGGTCTCAAACATGGTCCCTGGAGTGTCATGTGAATCCTGGCACCAGCACTCACCAGCTGTGAGACCTGATCAAGCTCTATAACTTTGCCGTGCCCCAGTTTCCTCGTCTATAAAGTGGAGTTAGAGGTCTGTGGTGACTCCAGTGCCTGATACATCAAAAGAGCTGACTGAGGGCCAGCTGTCGCCGTCACTAAAGTCTACGTTTGAGACCTGGACTCTACACACAAGCAGACCCACCATTCAGGGCTGGGTGGCCTTCACCAGCGTCTGCAGCTCTCCAATCCCCATTTCTTCTCCAGAACACTGGATGGCTGATGCCCGAGCCCACGGAAATGAGCTCCTATGTGCTAGAGCCTACCATGGTGCCCAGGGATAAAGCTCCAAAGGAGGCTGGGGTTTTATGAGCAGACACTATGAGTGCTCCATCCAAGGGCTGGCTTGTCTCCCAAGGTGGGCAACAGACCCTGTTTCCTCATCCAAGGAGGAGTTCTGCCTGTGCGGTGGCTCCAGGAATGTTAGGAAAACCACCCTGCAGATCACCTGGGAGAACCTCTTCTAGATTCTAGAGATGCCAACCCTCCCAGATGGGAGTTTGAGGTTCAGGCAGTGTCTCAGGGCTGAGTCCTCCAGGCTGTCCAGCGGGGAGGGAAACTTGGGGGCCAGAGGAAAGGGGGTGCAAGAGGGGTGTGTGGCTGAGGCACAGAAAGCCTGTCAAGCTCTGCCTGGAGGTCCGGGTGCAGAAATGCAGCTCAGGATGGCATTTGGCACTCTGCCGGCTGCAGCACGTGGTGCTGGGTCACAAACAACATTTTTAAGAGAATATAGTACAAAATATGACAAAAAGGAAAATATCAGAGTTCCAATTTTATAGATGGGGTGTGTGTGCATTGGGTTGAGACATGAAATGTATTTCTATCACTTGTAGCCAAAAAGGTTTCAGAAACACTGGCTTAAAATAGTCTTCAAGAGTGGGAAAGAGGACATGCATTTTTTTAGGTCTGACAATGTGTCAGCGCTGTTGTTGCACATGAGCTTATTTGTTTCATAACTATCCTCCGAGGCAGGCACTGCCACGTCCATTTTACAGGTGAGGAAACTGAGGCTTATGGAGGCCAAACTGATTGTTTAGAGCATAAAACAAGGATCTGGAACCCTGGTTCATCTGACTCCAAAATCAAGAGGCCTGGCAACAGAAACAACCACACAGACACACACACACACACTTGCACGAATGAGCGTGCAAACAGGGCACAATGTCCTGGATTTGAACTTACACCCTCCTGCTGCAGTCAAAGGCCACACACCTTGCCACTATGAGGGGAGCTTTCCAGGGAGGTGGTTCATGCTTTCGGTCTCACGTACAATACTGATTATAGGAGCTAACGTTGAGAACTTGCTGCTGTGCCGGGCATCTTGCTAACGCTGTACCCACAGTTACTCGTTCAATTCTCCCAACAGCCTGGGAGGTAGGTGGTGGTATTCTCCCCACTCCATTCCAGCCTCCTGCCAAGGGGCTGGGCATGTAATCTGGACAGGTAAGGGGAAAGCAGAAGTCTGCCAGGGGCTCCTGCGAAGTACTGTTTCCTCCTTGAGATCCTTTTGCCACCCCGGCATCTCCCCGATTCCCACATCAGCAGTGGTTCTGTGAGACTGCGAGGCCTGGAGCAGTGGTGCTGCAGGGTAGGGGGCCCACCCAGATTTCAGCCTGGTGAAGGGGCTGCACAGCCACGGCAACAGTACCCCTGGACTTCTTACTGGGAGTAATTGGATGTCCTTATGACTTAAACTACATGTAGCACAAAGGAGAGGCTTCTCCCCATCTGGCAAGGACAGCCCAGGGGTAAACTCTCAGGGAGGAACCAGGGAACCCACCCACCTTTCTTCTGTCTGATTCGGAGGAGGCAGAGGGCTACGATCAGCAGGGCCACCAGCAAGGCGCACACCACGCCCACCACGATGAAGACGCTGTTCCAGCTGTTGCCATTCGGGCCTAGGACCACACACAATAGAGGCTTCATGTAGGAAAACTTACAAGAAAGAAAAGTAAAAGCCACTGCCCCTTTTCACCACGAGGCAGACATCATTAACTGAGAACATCTGGCTCAGTTGTTTCGGCCCCGTGGGCATGTTCATGGATCTGCACACACTTCCCCTTGTGGGTCACCCACAGGCAGTGCAAAAACTGTGGCGAGGTGCCAGGAGGGAAACATTGCTGTCAGCCGTGGAGGAACCCCAGCTGCAGGGTGCGGGTGGAACTGCCCTCCTGAGGAATAGACATATGTTCCTCCTCACCTGAGTGATCCACAGAGTGGTCACCTGGGGACACAGGTCTGCCTGGATCTCCTAATTGCAGCTGGGGCATCACACACCACAGGGGGAAAGGCTGTGAGGAGGGTGACCTGCCACTGGACATGCAGACCCCAAGGCAGTGCCCTGGTCCATGCCTGGGGCCTGGGTCCCGGGGGGCTGAGCCCAGGACACTTGCCATGGAGACCGTGCAGGGGCTGGCACCAGACACAGGAGGGGTTCCCACAGGAGGACACAGAGTGCAGTCAGGAGCAGGGCTTGGAGCCACAGAAATGTAGGTTCAAATCAATGCCCTCGTTGTGCGACCTTGAGCAGGTCATTTAAACCCCCTCACCCACTGGCTTCCTCTTATGTTATTGAGGCCAATAGAAATCTCTACTTCACTGAATAGCTCTGAGGAACACCTCACTAACCAACCAACCACTCACTCTTTTGTCCTTTCTAAAAGTGTTTCTTGGGTGTCAACTACCTACCTGGTCCTGAAGCCACAACGCTGGGACAGCCATGGTCCCAGCAGCTGAGAATCAAAGCTGAGAGGTCACCGGGGTCACCTCCTTTAACACTGCCTGGGGCAGGTGGAGCAGCCCAGAGACAGGCACCAACTTGTTCAAGCTCCCCAGTGAGACGGACAGCCAGTGGATCCATACATCCTGTCTCCAGGGCAGGGCTCATGGTGGCATCAAAGGGCAACTTGACAGACCCCAAGTCTTCTTTAGAGCTGCCCTTTCAGGATGCACGAAGGAATGAAATGGCCTCTATTCTAATCCATTCAAAGGGTTTGCTATGTACATGTGTACAGGTGATGGAACATTCTACAGTGGCACCAAAATGCCAACCAGGTACTGTCATTCTGAAGAAAGGGAGACATGCTGATAACTGGTTGGACAGGGGCTGAGACAATGATACCCTGACACCTGTCATTCTCCCAGGAGGCTGGCAGCATCGCCATCATGTTAAACGGGCATGCACTTGGGCCTAGCAACATTCCCTGGGAATCATCCCATAGAAATAGCTGTGCATATAACAGAATATGTACAAGGGCAGTTAGTGCAGCACTGATCATACTTGAGATAAGCCTTAGATGGCCTGAAGCCCCCGACCCCATTCCAGTGGGGCAGCCAGGGAGAGTAGGCTCAGGTCACAAAGAGCAAGGTGGAGGAGGTGGGTGGGCAGGGAATGGTGAACACAGAAACTGTTAGGAGAAGAAAGCGAGAGAGTACACCACGAGCAAGACAATCCCTCTCCTTCCCTGCTTTCTTTCTTTCAAGGATATTTATGTCAAAAGATCTATAAAGAATATGCCACACTCTTACCAGTGGTCACTCTTGGAGGTGGGAACTCACTGTAAAGTTCTATTTTATATCTATTGGCTTCTAGATTGTTCTTTACAAAGTATGAATTACTACCTTCAATAGTAAAAAAAAAAAAAAAAAAGATAAACAGCTGGATCAGTTGCAATGGTGACCTCACCAGGGGTTTGACCTGTGTCCTGGTCCTTCTGGGGAGCAGAGACCTCCAGGGTATGGTTTTTGGAGACCGCCGGCTGCCCGTCATGCTCCACCTGGCAGGTGAGCACCACAGCCTCCCTGTGGGCAGAGGAGTTTACCAGGAACCAGCTTGTATGGTTAAAGGTCCCATCCTTGTTCTCTACGAGGGTCGAGGCCGGTTCTGTTCGGGACACGTTTCCGTTCTCCAACCAGGTCAGCTGTAGGCGCTGGGGGTAGAACTTGTTCACCTGACAGGTGACGTTCACCTGGTTCCCCGCTGGGGGGTATCCGGTAATCTCCAGGGTGGGTGGAACTGAAACAGCACAGGAAGAAGTTCTGACCTTATGGAACACACAGGTCATAGGGGAGGAGATGGATAACAGCTCAGCACAGCCAGGGAGTCACCCAGAGCCAGGCATGCAGTAGGTGCTCAAGCACTGAGGCTGTCTCTGGATATGAATGAAAACACTAAGCACAGTGCAGGGCACACAGCAGGTGCTCAAAGGCTGGGCTCCTATTAGGCTAACCATGTGTTCAATCTATAAGCACAGCCCTAGTATGCAGTTGAAATATAATAACTGCAGCAAAATAAATGAAATCACTAAACACATAGGGGCCTGACTTACAGTAGGTGCTCAGTAGTTGAAGAAGCTATTGGTAAACTATTAGCACAGTGCTTGGCACATGACAGGCATCTACCTGGAAGCTGCCATGAGAACAGTAATAAGTGACCAGCTCATCTAGAAGCCTGATGACTGGGCAGGATTGTCAGGAAGTAGATTCCAGGCAATTCAAGGCCTGGAACAAAAATCAGGGGGAAGGAGCAGGTTGGGGCCTTGCGGGCAGGTATGGGCTTGGGATGATGTGAGGGGCATCTACCTCGGATGGTCTCAGACAAGTTGGCAGTCCCACGGAGAGGAGGGCCCCCCTGCAGGGTGACGTGGGCCACCTCGCAGATGACCTGGGAGTGAACGTCCCCTGGGGCCAGCAGCACTTTAGTTGTGCTGTTGATGCTGTAGGAAGCGTTGTCTTTCTGTGGGTCCACGCTGGTCTGGGAGGCTGAGAGCTCATTGCCATTTTTGAACCATTTCAGGGAGATGTTTCTGGGGGAGAAGCCGTGGGATGTGCAGGTGAAGCTCACTGTCTGCTCAGGTGTAGCCCTCACTGTAGGGCCGGATACCATGGGCGGAGAGGGCTTGGCTACAAAAGGAACATTTATAAACACTGAAAACCATTGTGATTATCATCACTAATGAAAAATATGTAACATAGTTAGGAACTATCACATATATTATTATTTTAATTCTTCAAATAGTTCTGGGAGGGCACTGTCATCATCCTCATCTGAAAGGAGACACATGGGTTCCCCGGGGTGACTGAGTCAGGGGTATGGAATTCCAGGTCTGAGTGCAAAGTCCACATTCTTTCCTCTGCAAGGTGACTTCCCACCAGTCTGGGCACAGGAACAAAAAGTACTGATACTGATTGGTCTCAGACTTCTTCCTATTTCCTATTCCTAGCTGGGCTCTCCTGGAAAACTTAAGTTCAGAGAAAGCATTTACAGAAGTGAATGCAAGGGAAGCAAGGGCACAGTGGGAGCATGCGGAAGCTTAACCAGGCTGGCCATCCAATGAGAGGTGTGACCGTGGTACTTCCTAGCTCCTCATCTATGAAGTGGGGCAGCAGGCAGTATTCCTCCTGGGGCTCCAGTGAGAGTTAAACAGTCAGTGGAAGCATTTTTTGCCGTGAGTAAAACACAATATGCTTCACCAAACTAAATAAACAGAGATTTCTCTTTAAGCCAGACTATACTTATATCCAGAGCTGCCCCTTCAGGTACTTATGAATTTACTCCACAGTTTTCACTCTTTCCACAAATATTCCAGTAAGACTAATGTGTACCAATCCTTAAATTTGAAAGAAAGGGAGCAAACAGATAATTTTCTGAATCTGGGTTCTTCTCCTAGATCAGTTTTGGGTTGAAACAAAGATCACCGAGTGCTGAGAAACCAATGGTGGTTAATTTCTTAATTGTTATTAAATCAGAAGACACACAGACATGGGCTTGTGAAGCAGCAGAAGCACTTTTTGTATCCTGAAAATATATACAAATTAGCAAGTCAAAAGTGAGGGCAGTGTCTCCCTTTAGAAAGGCGCTGTGGGCCATCTCCAAATTGTCCATTACTACCTAACACCTCCTATAAAAGTTGGCAGATAGCAACTATATAAATATCTACGCTTGTAAATTTTTAACTTGCTTCCTAAAACTCATCAAACATTTTGAGGATATGGTAAAGGGGTGTTACTTGAGTAAGTCGAGTCATAAACACGTCAGCATCCTGAATGTAAGGGGAGCAGATGCTGTGATTAGTTACCACTTATCAAGAGTTTCTTGGGAGCCTGACACTGGGCTGATCCCTCTAGGAACCTCAGCTCTTTAATCCCTCCACCAACTCTGAGAGGGAGGGCTGAGTGTGGCCCCATTTAGAGGATGAGGCCCAGGAAGATGCATTATGGTATGAGGCCAAGAACACCCAGAGAGTAAGTACCAGAGTTCATCTCACTGCACATGGGACTGATTGATTTTAGCATCTCTGATCTTTACTCTTAAGCCTCAGTGACACTAGACAAAGTGGATAAAGCACCACCTGGTAAGATGAGTGAGGGTGTATATAAAACAGAGAGCCTGGCATATAGTAGGTGCTTAAACAATAATAACCAAGATTGTCATCATATCTGGTCATTTCTAGGTCTGACCAGGTCATACCAGGTCATACCTAGGTCATTCCTAGATATTTATTCTCTAGGCAGTAAGAAGGCAAAACAAAGTATTGTGGAAAAAACAAGAAAAGTCTCAAACCTTGTTCCCTGCAATTGCCATGAAAGACTCACACGAATAAAGGAATAGAAAACCATCAAGTTATGATCCTCTCCCTCTTTTCAAAAACACCCCCTCAGGGAAAAAGTTGGGGAAACTGGCTTTCAAAAAACACAAGGGATCACAGGTGTTTTCCTAAAGATCAGCTCTTCTCAGAGCTGGAAGCATTTTGAAAGGAGGGAGGGCGGAGTTCATCAGTGTCACTGTGGTTGTTGAGGCAGGAGGGCTCTGGGCTGAGCATGGAGTGTTGTTGGGATTCCAGCACCTGTTTACACACACACATGTTTAAAGATGGGAAGGTTTCCCTAGTGATGAACCTCAGGTCTGAACAGGTGGTCTGAGTGGGCAGGAAGCCCCTCTCAGCCTAGGTGAGTCCTGTTGGAAGTGAGGGGTGTCCCTGTCAACCCACTCAGGCTGACTTTCTTGTGCCTCCTAAGAGCTGTCACCATCACAGGCTATTCTGAAGAACTAACACCCAAAAGATCTGTTCGTACAACCCAGGCACCAAGTGGAACCTACCTTTTTCAGGGAAAAACCACAGCTCTCCCTTTGTGACCTCAGAGAACATGTAGCTCTAGGCTCCTCTGCTCTGGCTAGGCACCAGCATCCTCTGCGGGAGTTAAGACACTCAGCTGCCCAGGCCACATCTGCGCACTTAAACTAGAATTTCTAGGATGGAGACAGGGTCCTTGGATCTTGTCACCATCTCCCAGGTGATTCCAATGAGCAGTTGAGGTTGAAAGTCACCTAGTTCCACCCCCAACCCATTACACTTAGTCCTGGAGGGAAAGTGACTCTTTCAAGGTCTTTTGGTTCTGGGACATCAGAGCTCACATTGGTGGAACCTGTCCCACGTGCTCGGCTCTGCTCTAAGTTCTTGACATATATCCTCATTCAGTCCCTGCAGCTGCCCTGTGAGGCTGGGGCTGTCACAAGGGGACAAGGACACTGAGCTCCAAGGTGGGCAGGGACTCATCAGAGGTCGCAGAGCCAGGACGGGGCAGAGCTGGGGTGGGGGCCCAGGCAGAGGGCTCAACCACTGTGCACGGAGCTCGGGAGCACCCTAACAGGCTGCTCCCCTCCCCTCCCTCGTTCTCATCCAGGGAATCATCTGGGCAGGTGGCCTGGGGAAAAGGCAGAGCAGCTTCCCGGGAGGCCGCAGATCTGAGTGGCGGGGCGGGGGCCACTTACTAGCTGTGGTTAGTGAGCAAGGAGCCCACCGTCTGGGAAATTAAGTAATATTTGTAAAATCAGGAAAAAGCCACCTTCCTCTCCGATGACCAGGGGTTGTATGGAGATTCAATTGTTACCACATCTAAGAGAGAAATTTGGGGCAATTTTCACCCAAATTTAAATCCACATACTGTCTGAACTAGCAATGCCACTTATAGTGGGCATCTCCCACCTGAGTAGAGTGATGTATAGACAAGGTTATCCACTATAGTTCTGTTTTAATCACCTAAGTTTGGGAACAACTTGTTTATTTGTTAACAAAATACTGGTAGATGTTGTCTCCATATGCCAAGTGTTTTGCAGCTGTTGAAATACTGGGCAGCTCCAGGTGATGATTTGGAATGAGGGATTTATGGTTAAAACAAAAGTAGGAAGAGGTTCCCAATCACCTTGGGTCTCAGGGCCTGCATGTAAGGGGCATTATGAACCTCTGGGAACCCTATGAAAAGGTTGCCTGATCAATGGTTCAAATTAAGGGGTTTTTATTTTGTTCCCTCGTTGTAGCAGGCTCTTCCATGAAACCAGTCTCATTGTTGGTGGAGGAAGGGGACTGACCAAGAATCAGATGGGGTTCTGGAAGGATCCCCTCACTGACCATGTGACTGGGGTCTGGGTCCTTGTCACCTCTTGGCCTCAGGCCCCCATGTGTACTTGGGGGGTTTGGAGGATGGTGTCTAAAGGTCCTTCCTGTGCTGACAGTCCAGGATTCAGGAGTTAGAAAGAGGATCCTGGGCCTCTGGCAGAAAACCCTAAATAAGCACCTTTGCTACCTCAGTGGGACGGCCCCTAAGTCACCCACATGGGGGACATCTTCTGAGATGATCCAGCTCTGCTGGGAGTCTTCAGTGAAGGGTTTTCTCAACAGATTCCCCAGGAAACACCCAACCTCTGGGCATCTCCTCCAAGCAGGGCCATCAGAGTAAACACTGATCCTCTGCCCTAAAAATTTCTTCTCGGCGTGTAGTTTTTGAAGAAGATATAAACACATCTCGCCTCCCTGCCCTGGATGGACTTCTCCTCTTTGGGAGGGAGGAGGACATAAGCTTCATGGGAGAAGAGCTCGTGTCTGCTTTGCTCACTGCTGCACCACAGCATCCAGAGTAGGGCCTGGCACACAGTAGGTGCTCAGTAGGTGCTGAATAAATGGAATACTCAGCCACATTGAAGGCAGTACTCTCTGGAGGCAGGTGGTAGGATCTGACCTGTGACAGGGAAAGTCACTCAGACTTTCAGTTCCCTCATCCTTGGAACCAAAGAGCTGGATGGGATGGAAAAGACAACAGATGAGGACTCAGGCAGACTGGGGTTCTAGAATTTTCCCACCTTTATCAGCTGTGGCTCCTTGAGCAAGTAGCATGACCCCCACAGGCCTCAACTTCTCTATCTGTAGAAGGGAGTGAAATCATATCATGTCTAGATCATGATATAAGCACACATTGCTGCATCTGACTGCTTTTTCTTTTTTTTGGTTCACAGAGGGCATTTCTGTTGACATGTTATCACAGACCAGGGGATGAAGGACACCCAGGATATACTCACCACTCACAGTGAGATGAGTGCCTGGTCCAGACTTAAACTCCACGTCACCATGTTCTCCTTTCCGGAACTTCACACAGTAGTAGACACCAGTGTCTGCTGGGGTGATGTTACTGATGCGGATGGAAAAGTCCATGTTGTTTCTTTTTGTGGCATCTGAAACATTTATAACTCTGGGGAAGGGGGCTTCTTTTTGACTGTAGATCAACTCCCGGCCTGGCCCAGTTCCCCTGAACCACTTGATGGGCCCCACGGGCCTCAGGGAGGTCACGGTGCAGTGCAGAGTGGCTGTCTCTCCTGCTGCAACTGACACTGACGTCTTAGGCTGAATCACCTGCAGCTCCTCCTCACCTGCCGCTCCTGGAGGTAGACACAAAGTAGTTATTTATTCACCTTCATGTGATCCTGTAGGTTTTCTCAAGTGTTTATCAAGGACAGCTTTCAGTGACTGAGCACACCATGAGCTGGCCTTGAACTCAGCCCACTGTGCATGTATCACATGTGACCCTCACAATGAACCTGTGACTTGAGACCCTACTGCAAAGGAGGAAGCTGAAGCACACAGAGGCTAAAAATGTGGCAGATAGTAAGTCTGAGTACCTGAGCCATCTATGGAAGTCATGTCTGAACTGGGCTCTGAATTCAAGTCTGAATTTACCAGGAATAAAGAAAGGGGCACAAGCGTCCCTGAGAGAAGGGACAGCCTGGGCAAAGGCTCAGAAGTGGGTGGCAGCATGGCGTGTGTGAGCGGCTCTATCTGTTTCAGGTCTGGCTCAGCAAGCAGGCCCTGGGCAGAGAGACTACACTCGGCAGTTGGGTCCCATGTAGGCCATGGACTAGTGAAGTACTTGGGTACAAGGACTTGGGTGTGAGTCCTGGCTCAGTCCTACTGAGTGACCCTGGCCATCACTCAGGCAACCATGAAGATCCTACAGGGAGGCCGGCGAGTGTGCTGGATGCTGCCAGGCACTGTGTGGAGTGAGTTACTGCCCTCTGGGCCTGGGTCTCATCTGTCAGTTACTATGGCCCCATCTCCATAGATCTCTGGTAGGAACAAACAATATGCCTAGGCCAGAACAGGGTCAAAAAGAAGGGTCTAGTGTCTGGAGCCAACTGAACTGGTTTGAGACCCAGCTCACTTTTTATTCACCCATGACCTTATCCATTGCTTCAGTCTCAGTTACCTTATCCACAAGAAGGTTAGAACACCCACAGCCTTCTGTGTTCTGAAAAGACAGTGAGATGACACACAGGAGCCAATGAGTGCCAAGCTGGACACCATGAATAAATGAACTTCACTCCCACCAGCCCTCACTGATGCTCCTGTGGGCCCGGCCCAGGCTGGACGCTGGGACACACAGGGGCTAGATCCAGGTCAGGCCTCAAGGGCTCCTGAGATGGACAGGTGGAAGGAGTCCAGGAGGTTAGTGGTGAGGAGGGGCCTGAGCCCCAGACTGAAGAGGACTGGGGTACACGATCGGGGAGCCCCAGTAGAGGAGGTCAGGGGAGGGGGACACAGAAGGAAGATGGACAGGCTGGGTGAAGATGCTATAGGAGGTGCTGTGGCTGCTCAGAGTAAGGTGCAGCTGGGGCCCTGATTCTAAGCATGGTAGGGGTGGGGAGAAAGGACAGATCATGAAGACCCTGGAGAAACACACATACACACAGAGATAGACAGAGGGAGGGGCAGACGGAGACGGAGTGAGAGACAGAGATGCAGGGAGAAAAAAGAATAAGACAGAGACACAGAGTGATGGCAACCTGGCAGAGGTGCAGATGGGCCAAATGGCCTCTGCCTGCTTGCTCCACTGACCTGATGTGACCCTGTCCTGTCCTGACCTAGGCCACCTGGCTTTGTACATCAGACAGGGCTGCAGCTGATGCCCTGAGCAGGCCCTTGCCTCTGGCTGAGCAGGAGAGTGACCTTGTGAATCTGTCCAGCCACAGACTCCTGTCTGCCTTCACTGCGGGCAAGCCTGGACCTCAAGACAGGCCTCTCATCTCCCTGCCCATGATCCCAGCTCTAACTTCCATGCCCAGTTCTCATGGCTGGTGATCAGAGAAGGAGTGGCAGCCTGAGGGCGGCCCAACCCTCATGGTGCAGGGAAGAAACCAGAATCAGCAGAAGGCAGGGGTTTGGGGTGAAGTGGGTGGCCAGGTGTGCGGGAGACACAGGGAGGAGGCCCATGGAGACGCGTAGGTACCCTGAGACATTTCAGGCCTCATTAGCAGCTGCCAACAGCATCCATCTAGGAACGTTCCCAATGAGCCCACATTCCACACCAGAGACAACACTAGAAATGCAGCTTGGAGTATGTACAGATGCCGGGGCCAGCAGGCCTGGGTGAGAGTACAGTCCCCACCCAGCCAGCTCAGCACCTGCCCTTGTGGGTCTCCATCACCCACTCCGGACACCCATCCCCTGGGACAGTCATGAGGAAATGGTTGGATATAAGTGCTGGCAGCACATGTGCTGATTAAACTTTAGCTTTTGTTTCCATCATTATCAAAGGTACATTATACTTGACTTTCTCTGGATTGACATTTCTTCCCAAGCAGGAGACAGGATCCACAAGGAAGTGTTTCTGACCCCCTGCCTAGGACACTGCCTGGCACACGCTGGGCCCTTGATAAACACACTTGAATGAACACAAAAATGAAGGAAGGAGGGATTTCACTTGCTCCTGGGCAAATCCTCTCTCTGAGCCTCTTTCCTCATATGTTAAAAGGGCTGCTAGAGGCAGGTCTGACACCAAGACTGGAGCCTGGGACTGGGCCTGGACCATAAACGCACGTAATCAGTGGCGGTTATTATTATCCTCATCAATACCACTGCACGGGGCTGTGAGTCAGCAGCTGGCGAGGGACCATGAGCAGGACACGGGGTGCGGAGCCAGGAGCATGGCTGGGGCAGGGTTATTCTTGTGCTGCACCCGGAGGCCTGCAGTCACACCCAGGGAGGCGACAATAAAATCTAGCATTGTGGAGGGCTGTCCCCCCCACTTTTTTTTTTTAGCTCTTCTCAAGCTCTCTCCACCAACTGCAGCCAGATTTAGGAGGCTTAATTAATTAGCCAGTGTTTATAAAGCGTTTGAAGAATTTTAAAAGTGCGACGTAAGTGCCAAATATTATTTTAATCTCTGTGTGTTTTTTTCCAGCAGAGTCTTTCCCTCACTTGCTTGCTTTTCTTTTTCTCTGCAGGTTCTGTTCTGGGAACTGGGCTTGTTAAAAATCACTCCTGCGGTTCTGGGCCCGGGGTCATCATGTTGGCATCACTGACAAACCCATTTCCCACTCTCTCCTGCCCTCCTGGCAATAGTTCAGCAGCCTGAACTGTCTCGGGGAGAGGAGGGAGACTGGGCAGGCATACTCCCATGGTGCTAGTGGGACTGGAGGCTGGGCCATTCTTTCAGGAAAACAGTGTGGCAGGAGGTGCACAGGTATGAAGGCTGTTCACCAGCCTTTGTTGGGCTGTCCCACAAGGACACGACCCCAGATATGGAGTGGGGTCCCCATGGAACGATCTTGTAAAAGTTGGGAAAAAACTCAAGTGCTCAGTGACAGGGATGGTTAAGGGAACTGTGGCCTGGTCACTAGATGAAATTACAAGCAGCCATCAAAAAACAGTGTGAAACTGGTAAACTGGACATTTTTGCAAGGCATAATTTTAAATGATATTGTGGTTAGCAAATAAAACCTGTCCATTGCAAAGTATTTAGAGAAAGCAAAAGTATAAAAACAAAATAATAATCTCATAGAATACTATCAAAGATAACTACATTTTGATATTGTTAAAAAATGAGTGAATAAAAACAATGTAAAATCATATTCATATTACTAAGGATATTTGCAAATATTTTGCATCATTCATTCAGGTGTTCCTATAAAAAATAAAAAATTGCTAGTATTTTAATTTCCAAGAAAAGGAGACTGTTGATCCCAAGATGATGAATTTATGATGACCACACCTACATATAAGGATTATAATTATGGACACAGAAATAGATGACAAGATCAGAGTAAGTTACTAAGTGACGTTTTTCATGCAATCTTAAACTTCTAATTTTGAAAAAAAATGTATATCTGATTTAAAGACTAACATGACTAATTGGGAGTAGCAGACTTCCAAGGGATTCTCCTTTTATGTTTTCTGTTTGCATTACTTGTACAATAGGGAAGCAGGAAAACTGCTTTCAGTATGATCATGACTTTGTAAAATAAACTAAAACTATATATAAACAAACTGCAAGGTACTACACAAGGCTATAAAACGCAACTCTCTTTAGATCATGAGTCTAACGGGCTTTTTCTTTTTTATTCCTTCTATTTTGGGTATTTTCAGATTTTTTTAAACTGGATAGCTATTAAGGAATATTTACAGTATCCCACCTGTAATAAGAAAAACCTATACATGTAATATGTATGTTACATGGGTATGAATATTTATTATTTGAATGAACCTTCCTAAGAATTGTCTATTTTATTCGTTGCTTTTTCCCTAGCTCCCAATATAGTGCTTGGCGTAGGGTAGATGCTCAATAAATATCTGCAGACTCGCTGATCAGTGTCTTGAGAAAAGGTCTAGAGTGCTAATCATCATGACACTGAGGTGAGTTACGACTGGGAAATGGGATGAGTGGTGAGTGGGCACCAGGATGGGCGTGTTTTCTATTTTATAGTAAATAATATATTGAAGTCTTCCTCTCTCTCTTTTTTTTTTTTGCAGTGAACAAACTTGTCGCTTTTGGAAAAATACTAAGTAAGGAAATAAAACATGTAAGTTACCTATTGGAGGAAGTCATCACAGTGGGTGGAACTGCCCCGTGTATTTGTTGTAAGAGGAACTCCATGTCCACGGGGACACCGAGCAGGGAACTCATGGGGCAGGGGAGGATGGTGATGAATGATGAGAATCTGCGGTGCTCCAGGCCCTCAGCTCACGGCTGTGCAATGGCTGTCCTGGCCTCATGGAGCTTGCACACAAGTGGAGAAGATAGACTTTAAAGAAATAACTCCAAAGCTTACATTTGGAATGAGCCCCAACCCTTTAGACAAGGGACTCCTGCTGGCATCTTTGACCCTATTTCCCGTCCCCTTCACATGACCTGCTCCAACCCCCCTGGTCTTCCACGAATAGACCAAGGAGGGTGTAAGAGACGAAATAAGATGGGGACTGAGAACTGACCGCTGAACTTGGAAAAATATCTTTGAATATTTTTTTTTTTAAACAACATTCATGTGTAGTTTTTGAGATTAAGAAAAAGATAAAAACAATTTAATCAGAAGTAAAGAAACAAGCATGGATGCTTTTCTAATGGAAAAAACAAATCAACTTAGAACTGAAACTTGCCAGGAGGGAA